CGGAACATTCGCATTAGCAATTAGTGCACTTAAAGGCGTTTTAGGCCGCATTAATCTATCGAAACCATGAAGCACAATTAGCCTTTTAAGCTCAATAAAAGCGGAGTTGGTGGAGCTTGAGTGGTGTTTGCAGGATGGTTCACCAGAAGCTAGTTTCATACATTTAGACTAATAGATCAGATCAAACTCTTGTATTTGGCCACACACTTATTTTTAGCAGCTGCAGGCTAAAACATAAGAGCTCAGTTCCACTGTCTTTTTGTTCACATCTTACTGCACTTTAGGAGTCTTGCCAAGTCATTAATCAACATGCAGCGCTGCCACATTGTCTCATTCATGTCTTTACTTCTACTGGTTTGGATTTTGGCATGGCATGTTACCAAGTAGGACAGTCTGGTGTGGGAATGCTATGGCTCATTTCATTCTTTGATGTCCGTCAACGGGGAGAAGACGCTGAACATATCGGCTATGGAGCTGTAATAGATAAGACATTTCTAAGAATAGTCACATGGCTTTGGCGATAATGGAATAGTTTAACACTTGCATTGTCGCTATAGCCATTGTTGACTACTGCTGCTGGCCGTAGAGACGGACACGAGGGGGATATCAACTGCTCATTAAGTAAGCAAATAAGCTCATAATGCTATATTAAATCTTCTATTTGTGCGTATTTTCTCCCTGCTTACGCACTTAACCTACTTCTCTCTCCATCTTTGCCTTTGTCATGCTCCAGTGATGTTGGGTCAGGAGGCCTCTGACGGCAGCGTGACTCCACTCAGTTGGCATCTCCCCTCAACCCTCCCACCCTTCCTTCCCCGGTCATCTTCTTAGTCAGACCCTCAATGCCCTCTCTGTCTGGCCCCACAGGCTGTAGGTCCTGGGTGGGCGAATAGAGGGTGTCTTCCTGTGTTTCACCCTATCAGAAGACACTAGAAACGGGGGGGGGGATAGAGAGGGGTTGGCGGGGACAGCTGCCATGCTAGGGGAGCCCCCACCATCCCAGTCCGGTATCGTCCCATGCCGTCCCATTCCCAACCCTGGGGCCCGTGAACACTAGACTCCTACAAGCCGAAGTGGGCTCTGTGATTGTTGAGTGAGCCAAACGGTTCACAATCATTCGTTGGATTAAGGAAGACTCTAAATGGATGTGTATGTTTCTGTCAGTCATTAACTTGACCCTGGCCTGGACCAGGTGGGATTTAGCCATTCATTTTACACCGGACACAATGGAATACACAAAGAAAAGCAGGACTAGATGCCTCATCATGCTCTTCACGAGCCTTGACGGGAGGTATGTAAATGGTGGGCAACTACTCAGTATGTGGTGACACTGTTCCACTGTTTGTTTGTGGCATTGGGTTCAAAGTACTCTGGTGTGGTTTGAGTTCTGTCTTGTTGATATTCAGTGTGTTTACACACACACACGAAGAGATGTGACTGTGGTGGAAATTGGTGGAGTCGATGTGTTTCTATTGGCACATTTATTGTCTGGATTCTGGGTCAAATTGACTAAATCTAGTCGAGAGAAACAAGGGAAAGAGTTTTGACCACACGAGCAGGTTTTCAACAAGTCTGCCACAAGAGTGTGCATGCATGACAAATTCTCATAGTAAGAGCAAATCATAGGGATGAAAGGCAAGACGGTTACTCGTAGTGGTGCATCCTCGCATCTTATATAAATATAGTCCAACTACAAGTGAGACAAATTGTAAGATAAATTACTGTTTTTTTTTAAAAGTTTCCTCAGCTGAACTGTAGATTTTTAAATGCAGACACATTCTCGCACATGAGGGAATACAAACTGTGTGTTGTCTCACTACAAGTGCTTGTTCTCCCACTGTGCTCTCAGCCCAAACGCTTTGAGTAAAAAAAGAAAAAGGAACACTTCAGGCTGCAGTGCATATCACTAACACACTTAAAATCTGCCCGCATTGGTTCAAAAACATGGTGGACGGCAGAGGAGAAATCGAATTACTGACCAGCTGCACGCAAATGTGGATTTTACAGTAACCGAGTTATTGCACTGCATGTAAATGTGTTGTCTGACTTCCTGTCTTAACCTGATTTCTTCCCCTTTCCTGTTGTCTTGTGAGCATATAAATGAAGCCAGTGTCCATATGCATGTCAAGTACGGATGTTTCTGAATCTGGGATACGTTTTTTAATTTTTTGCATCATTATATATACGTTTTTGTTTTTAATGCATGTGTCTGGTGCCGAATGGGTGGTACGAATCAAGTGGTGCAAGTGTGCATAATTGTGCATGAGGAGAGCTGTGTGAAAGTCCACAGATGGAGGAGAGATGCTCAAGCTAGCACACAGCTTGTCATCCCAGAACCACTCGTGTCTGTGACTGTGCTAATGTGGCACTTCAGAAACATGCAGATTCTCTTCTCTTCTTTGAATCGAAGACCGCTGCTTATAACATTTTAGTTACATTTTCTTTTTTACATTATAACTTATTCTCATTTATTTTGAGATGAATGCATTTTGGCTGTCTGGCCCCAGCAGTGAACGGCTGTAGACACATCCTCTTTTCTCTTATCTTTTTGATTATTTCCTGGCTGTACTAATTTTGGCTCATTGCATCTTTTATAGTTGTATTTTTTTGGGGCAGTCAATTTGATATATTTATCTTTTGTCTTCCCTTTTGTCTTGCTATATTAATCTCTTTGTTGTACGTGATGAAATGTTTTTCATTCGATATTCTTCCTGTTATGGCCCCTTTTTTTATATAGTTGCACATTTTTATGATCTATCAGTATTGTCAAGTGCTGTTCTTAAAGCTGTTTCATTTTTAGTTGTGCAGAAACTGCAGCCACCAAGTCGATGTCAAAGAGCAGACCAAGAAATACATTCAGTATTCAGTATTTCTCAGATATCAAAATGTAAATATTAAATGTATTGTGACATATCAGCACAGCGTGTGTATCTTATGTCGGCCTCTGTTTGGTTCGTGTCTCTTCGCTCTAAATAACTGGTTGTTTTCGCATGAATTTTACAAGGAACTCCTCCTCAATGACTGCGAGGCAGTCTGATTAAACAGGTCTCACTTGCCTCTTGTCTTCAGCATAACTTCCCCAGTTGTCAACTTCTCACCCTGGGCGGGCCTGGCCTCGCTGTAACCCAAGCTCTCGGTCCTTCTGTTCCCCACAGGGTAACTTGACCCAAGATTGCTTTGTCATGAGAGAGAGAGAGAGAGAGGGAGAGAGAGAGAGGGAGAGGTTCCCTCTCCACACCCACCGCCTTTGTGCGACCAACCCAACAGACACATCACTGTTGTTTTAGCACATTCACTTCAGGTTAAATTTGGTATTTAAGGAGGCCTGCCTCAAAGCGTGTAGGTTTAATAGGTTTAAGCCTCATTCGGACTAAGTGGGTGTGTTTGCGATTATATAACGCTGTCCTTTTGAACTACACTGTCTGAAACATGTGCTGCACGCGTGTGTGCAACATGTCAGTGTGGGATGTGAGTTGTGTTTTCTTTTTGTGTGTGTGTGTGTGTGTGTGTGTGTGTGTGTGTGTGTGTGTGTGAGAGATTTCATGTTGTAGTGTTCTTGTATGCGATTCCTGTATGTCCGTGTGCCTGCAGTTTAAAAGCCAGGCTCCTGTTCAGATCCTCAAGTTGTTTCTTCATCCTGTTTGTGGAGGGAGAGGTCTGATGCTCATCATGCTGTCTCAGGCAGGGGCTTGGCCCTCTAACAAAGGACACCCTGTGGTTGGAAAAACAGCTACGGGATGAAAAAAAAACCCACATGCACGGCATTGTTCATACGGACAAAATCGTACCCCAAAAACAATAACAAAAAAGCTTTAGTTCGCATTGCTCGCACTCGGTTGGTCTGCTTCCTGATCTGTCTGATCTCTGTGCTGCTTGTTTGTGTTCTTTGTCTATCATTTACTAACATTTCAAATGGCACTGGACACGTTTCTGGTATTTGATCAGTTATTTGATTTCTGGTCGAGTACTACAGTATTCGGTTGGTGAAACCTGTACAAAGTGTCCATACATACTTCCCCCTAGCTTCAGCAACAAAGGGGAGCGAATCATTTTTGGATAACTCTCTTATCTTATGGTCAAATCCAGCAAATATGCACAGTATTTTGTGGAGAGCATATTTTGAGCCGTAAAATAAAAACATGACACCAATGACTCGGCAAAATCGAGAGTTCGTGACCCTCTTGAGTCTGCATTTATATGAATCACTGCTGGGTATGTTTTCTAAATATAACTACAAACACCATGAGGTGGGAAACGCAATCTAGAAACAGAACAATGTGGCGTCGTTGCTTTTGAAGGGCTGAAGAGGCTTCTCACTCTCACTGACCTACATCTTTTAAACGACAACAACAACACATGATATGACTGCTATGCGTGAGATGTAAACAGGTTCTCAAGCTTTATGGTTTGTTTTTTCTGCCATGATTTAATTAGCTCTGTATTTTCAATTTCAGTGGCACAGTGGGCCTTTTTTAATAATTCAGTAATGAATCACATTTAATACATTCTCCCAGATAAGAGAAGGGTCTTATTGTCTATCTCTTTAATGCTCTTTAGGATCAGGATTTTATTATTAAACTGTCCTTTTATTCATGTACCCAAAATGAAGTCCTAGATCTCACTTGATTGCTTTTATTTTTGTCTGTCTGCTTTGCCTGAATTTAAACTCTTTCCCTGCTTTGTGGTACCTTTTTCCTCACAGACAACAAATCCCATTTGAAAGAAAATACCCAGTTTCTCTTTTGGTTATTCACCCCAATCATGGTGCGAGGTCAAACCATGCGTCTTTTGTTCTGGTCATCCCAGACACATATTTCTGGTTGCGAGTTCTTCAGCGAGGGCAGTGCAGCTGGTGGAGAGTGCACACAGAGACACAAGCTATGCCCGGGACACATTGGCTAAACTGGAAAAATACAGCATTTGGCCAGCGGTCGGGCAAGAATGGAGCAGTCATTGTGAGAACACACATATAACCTTTGGCCTCGTTTCTCTCCCTGCAGGCATGGAAGAAGCGGTGGTTTGTTCTTCGCAGTGGCCGTCTGACGGGCGATCCAGACGTATTGGAGTACTACAAGAATGACCATGCCAAGAAGCCCATCCGCGTGATTGATCTCAACTTGTGTGAGCAGGTATGGTTCCTCTCTATACTATCAGCCTGTAGTCTCCAACAGTCTGAATGTATGATTCATTCTTAACTTAAATGTAGTCCAATTTTGACCAATCGCAGTCTATGCCCGTCATGTCATCGTGACGTTAGGCGGTTTTACTTTACGTCATACGGAGGGACTGGTGAATTGTTCAAACATTTTTCAACCACACGGTTTTCAGCAGTTCGGCCATGACCGGTGACTGTATAGGTCGGCCTCATATTTCATAAAGCTCACAATTTGTCACAACTGCAGGTCTAATATAAGCCGTGAATAAAAACCGTAAAAACATTTAAAACACTTAATCGGATGTTTTCACAGCAAAATAGATATTTGAGAGGGAATTATGACCTGTTTAACTTCCCAAGTATTTAAATAAAAATACAATCATTTATTTCCCAATTTGAATCGTTTGCTTTTCTGAAAATAACTGGTATAGATGTCAATAACAATGTAAAATAAATAATAACATTTTGAATGTTTGGAAGGGCTATTTATTCCAGCTCTACTATTTATCTATACATGTTTCATTGGCTGTAAATCATCACTTTATTTATACATCTGTTAATATATTTGTTCGTGACTGATGTCATGTTAAACTACGACTTGTTTGTTACCGCTCCAGGTGGACGCTGGGCTGACGTTCAACAAGAAGGACCTGGAGCACAGCTTCATATTCGACATCAAGACCATCGACCGTGTCTTCTACCTGGTGGCTGACACCGAAGAAGAGATGAATAAGTGGGTTCGCTGCATCTGCGACATCTGTGGTTTTAACCCCACCGATGACGGTAAGCATTGGCATTAGATAGTTAACCACACATTATCATTTTGTTGTTGACTAATTTATTGCTAAAATGATAAAATACCAAACGGGAAACGTTCATCCTCTGAGATCCTCAGAGCAATCCGTCAACCGTATAACCACCTGATGATGTCACTATGACAGTAACCAGCACTATGATATTACCATATGTGAAAAAACAACAACTTATAAGTTATATTATTGACCTCACTCCACAGTAAGGATTGTGTGTTTTAATACGGTATTGCATTAACACCTTGTATAATGAATGTGCATAAATAGAGGAAAAGCTGAATTGCTGTGTAGCAGCTTCATCACCAGCAGTCAGCAAGTATATTTCTAGACTCTTAACAATTCCATATTAGCTCACAAGTTAATTACTGTACATTTGGTTGGTCTCTCTTATTTCATGCCACTGTTTTACCTCTTAAATATCTGCCTCTTTCCCTCTTTCTCTGAAGAAGTTAGGCGAACTAGCTGAATGTGCCAGAGGGCCTCTATTCAGCATAGTTCTCAGCAGAGGTCTAATGATCCATGTGTTGATCCATGTGTTGTGTTAAATCTCACGTTACCTTCGTCCCCAATACTGTATAATCAAATCATTGTGTGCCTCTCGGTCTCACTGCCCCTCTTTGGTTCTCTCCCTCTTATCTGGTTCTCATTGTCTCTCGTTTTGCGTTCTCTTGTTTCCCTCTCTGTCCTCTGTCTTCGAGCCTAATTGCAAGCTTTGCTATTTGCATCTCCCCACCCCCCCCCCCCCCCCCCTCAACTAAACGTGTCAGCATTTGAATGTGACGAGAACTAATTTGCTGTCTGACATATCACGCCACCCGGGATTTCAAACTTGGCAACCAAGTCACTGATTACGCTCCTCCGAGGTCATCTTCTCCACAAGCGTTGCGTCTGTGCCCCCATGTCTGTTACATGGCTGGTGTCGCAGGGCGAGCCCGATAACACTCTTCAACACAGTTATTGAAACTGGCTGTTAAAACCCTAATGTGCCAACAAACAGTGAGCCCATTCAAGGAGAAAGTGGGTCTAAAGACAAAACTCCTCACAGATAGCCCTCCTCACAGTTCCTGTTACAAAAGAATGTCCTTGGCTCTCCCTTTGGCGCTCACTCTCACTCCTCTGCGTGTGAGACCCGACTCGGCGTTCTGTCGTGTGTGTGGCCACGCTGGAGTGCTTCATGGCCGGCCTGATATTAGAGGAGGGAACATTAGGAGTGCTCTGAGAGACAGTGGAGGAGGTAAAGATGAGTATGAGCAGAGGGGATTTTCCCCTTTTCCACTTCACAGCTTCAACAAACAAACGAGGGGGGGGTGAGCAGAGGAGCAGAGTAGCAAATGATGCACTGTGATGAGAGAACTTGACCTTTTAAAGAAGAGAAAGAGGGGACCTTCCTTGTGTAAGAGAAAACCATGTCGGTTATAGAAGAGAGTGGGAGGAGATCTGTGAAAGAAGTAGAAAGATGCGGAATGAATACAGATATTTCACCGAGCATACGCATCAGCCATCTTGGCTCTCCGTGCAGTGCAACAATCAGCTCGAGCAGAAGGGTTTGAAAAGGACTCTGGTATTTGTGTGACAAAGCAGAGACCTTGAGGAAATGCTGTCTGAGAAGGAGTGTGTGGGATTCTGAAGGGAAGGCAAACACCGTATTCAGGCTGCTCACGGACAAATGGTGCTTCTAAGTGGGTTTCATGCGTATATGTGTGTCGGGACGTGAAAAGAAGGATGAAAATACTAATTTGTGATGGTTTGTTTTTTTACGTACATTGACAGCGATGACTGGAGTGTGCTTTAACTTGATATTAGCTCTCAGTGAAGGTGTTATTCAGGGAATCTTCTCACACAAATATCAGGCTTGTCATATCTATATCATGTCCTTCCCCTAATGTTGAACAGTGTGCATTATTTTGAAAAGGTTTGATTGCTCCCTGTTATTTTCCACCCAAGAAGGAAGTGAGTTTTTTGGATTCTTGTGGCTTGTTGATTTTCAGTTGAGCTATTCTAAAGAGCTATCTGAGATTTGTCCTCGAGTTGTTGAGTCTCCACACATCGGCCGCTCAGGTTCAGATGCTATCGAGGTGTAAAGTTGATGTAGTGTCGGAGTGGAATTGGGTTGCTAGGAAACAGCTTGGGTCCAAGTTTACTCAGCCGGTTGACATCGGCAAACACAGCTTACTGTTTACTTTCTGCTTAATATCATCAGTCATCAACATCGCCCGCACTGACTCACTGGGCTTTACAGATCCGCAGCAGGAGCAGGGCCCGGCTTCATGGACGACTGAGGGTTCAGTTGGAGCCATAGGTTAACAAAAAATGCAACAATGTGCTTATAATCCAGCATAATGCTTAAAATAGGACCAATACAAATGTAGTAAATTCAGTATGAGATGTCTATGAAATATATTGGCCCGCTGAAATGAGTCCAATATGACCGCTGGATTTATTGAAATGCATCCAAAGAAAGTCCAGCTAAAGTAAATAAAAGAACTGATGGATCCTTCAGACTTCCATCATCCTGATGCCTTACATCGAATGAATGTGATATTCTAATGTGTGCCTTGTGCTGCCCTCATTAATAGCCGCAAAGCCACTGAACAACATCTAAGCCTAAAGAGCCATTCATAGACAGATCTGGATGGCATCTCATCTTTTGGCATCAATTTAATCACTTGATTACAGTCCAGTTCATGAATTAGTGGCCTTTGTTGTACAAAATAGCACCCCCTGTAGGCTCCATAAAAGTGTATTAAGTTCTTCTGTTTTTAGTGCAGGTGATCGTTAATTCAGCGGCAGTGGCCCACCTCCTCTATAATCATCTGTCAAAAAGCGGTGTATTTTTTATTTTTTGGGGTTTGCTGTGCTAAAGAAGATGATACGTAAACAGCCTTCTTGTTTCTTTCCTGCAGAGGCAGCAAAAGCTGCTCACCAGTCAGCCATCGGAGGCCTGGTGGTGGACACCCCACCACACCCGGCACATATCGCCGGTCCACCAGCGGTGCTGTCCAGCGTGCCCCCTCCATACCAGCCGGTCAGCGTGCGACACCTGGACTCTCAGTCCAGTTCAGAGGAGCCCCAGGACTACCTGTGGCTCGTCAACTGCGAGAGCAAAAAGCCTGAACCCAACAGGTGAGTTTGTTTTGCGTCAACGTGCGCTTATCGTACGTATACGAGTCTCCGTATTCACTTTTGCCGGAGTGCTACACTGTGGCACAAGCTTCTCGCTGTATATTTTTCCAACCCACTGCCACTCTCGTCTCTGCTGTGTGGCTGTGTAGCTCAGTGCAGCGTCACTCTCCATTGGAGGGAGACAAGCAGTATTTGCTCCTGGAGGAGTGTGAGAGCAAGACGCTTCCTCTTCAGGCTAGTCTGTGAGTGGCCAGCCATCCAGCTGGAACTGCCTGCTTGTGTGTGTGGAGTGCTACCCGTGTGTTTAAAAAAAGAAAACAAGACAGATCAATAGCGACACTCCAAAAACTTCATGGCTGTAGATTTACATGCCTTCTGTAGATGAATGTTAGAGCTGGATTTGTCTGATCCTTGTAGATCAGAACAGACTGAGTTGTCCTCTACCTAACACTTTTCGTTGCCTGCATGTTGAAAACAGATATTCACCCGACATCTTCTGAGAAACGAGATGCTAATGTGCTGGAGGTGCTGAGATTAGTGACTAGATGTCTCTGTTTATAACGTTGTGTTACTAACCGTGGCTTGCAGACAGTGCTGTGAAGGCTTACCTTGACTGAGTGGATTTCTCTGCTTGCCAAAATCAATCGTAGATATTTAATTCTCTGGTGTATTTGTATATTGTCTCCTTTAGAGCTCATGCTGAGTGTTCCAAGTCTACCTCTTCAGAGACGGACCTGAATGACAACCTCCCCTCTCACCGCACGCCCACCTCCTCCACCTCCTCAGCTAAACACACCTCGCACAACGGCTTCTTCCCACAGCACCCGGCCTCCGCCTCTTCCATCTACGACTCGCCTCCATCCCGTTGTGCCTCTCTATCGACAGACGTGGGCCTGTACCACCTCCCTCGCAGCTACTCCCAGGACACTGTGCTGCTCCCAAAGTCCGCCTCCTCCCCCGTGGCCCACCCGGACAGCGGGGATGCCTCCGAGCTGTATGTCTTCAACACGCCGTCACGGAAGCCCTCGATGGAGTCGCAGATGCGCAACCTTTCCATCAGTTACGATATTCCACCTACGCCTGGCGCAAACTGTACCTACCAGGTGCCCCGCACTTTGTCAGCGTCGACAGGTGTGGGCGGCTCAGAGGGTGGGGGAGATGCAGTACCCCCTCCCAGACCACCCAAGCCTTCGCTCAGTTCCACCTCAGGACCCCCGCCACCACCAGCTGAGCGCTCACCTACGGACACCTATTTTGTGCCTCGCTCAGCGTCCGAGACGGACGGAAACTACTGTGTGCCTACTAGCGCTGGGAATAAGGCTTTACGCAGCAACACTATTGGCACTGTGGACTGTTCGCGCCTCCGCAAAGGTTTGTGTCGGGGAGAGATTTCCTATGCTTTTGGAAAACCACTATGAAAGTAGAAATTATGCTTTGTGGTCTTAGAATACTTAAATTAAATGTTATGTTCGATAGGACACACATTGACAAAGCCACTTTCCTCCATAGCATCTTGACCTTTAAGTGCAGTGATCATTTGTATCAGCCGTATATATATGGCTTTTGCACAACTTTTATGCCAGCATTTGGTATTCTTTATACATTCTGTTGATGGATGACACCACCTGAGCTCTTGGCAGGTTTTCTTCTACCTTCAATCCCTATTTTGGCCCTCACTCCTCTGTTCTGTTCACAATGCATTCAAATGATCAAGAGCTTATCAGGCCTGAACACAGAGCAGAGCGTTTCCTGCAGATGTCTTGACGATTAAAGGCCTTGGTTTGTGGTTATGATACTCAGCTCAAACATTAATATGCAGGCAATATACATTAGGAATCATCTTCATATGCCCTTAATTGTGGACAAGTGCATCCCCTCTGTTGCATCACTTCCACTGTGTATCAAATCAAGAGAAGATTCTACTAAAATCATACGAATTAGATATTCTGTGTAGACAAGAGATGTGTTTTATAATGAGAGTTGAGTATAATTTGAAAAAAAAAGCAAATCTAATTATAAAATGTTACATTTATAGCAGCGATTTTAAATCGATGCACAGCACCCTTTGTAGAAAGGCTTAAAATAGACAGAACACAACTATCTGACAAGAAGAAAGACACTTTTGAAGTATGGACACAACATAATATATCCTTCCACTCACTCCTCCCTCTTGTGGTGACACGTGTCATTACAGAAATATTAGTGGCAAAATAATTGTTTACACAAACCCAAGAGACGCTGAAGTCTTTGGTGAAACTCTGTTATCAGCCTAACCTGCGCGCATCGCTTGTGAAAGCTGTGGACAGTGGATACCCCGGGCTCAGAGGAGGTGTTGTGTGTGAGTTCACGTTGAGAATATTTCACCCAACACGAGACTGGGTTGAAGGGTTTAATTCTGCTGCTCTGCATCCTGGTGACAAATACACAGGCCAGGGTGCAAATACACTGTGAAGGACCATTGACTGGTTGAATTATTTCATCTGACCAATTTGTAACTTTAAATTTCTCTTATTTGGGGGGCAATTACAATATTTCAAAGAAATTACATTTGTCAATGCAATTATTCCCCATCATGATTCCCCCCCCCCCCTCCTCCCCCACCACTAAACTGACACTCTCGTTTGCCTCACAAGTTGTTCCTAGCACTGCTGTGGTTCTTGTGGCCCTAAGTGAGATGCATTAGCGACTCTGCATTATCGCCTAATGAGAATGCAAAAAGCAATACTTCTGTGCTACACAGTGGAGTCATTACATACTGTACAGCTACTGAGCTCTGTCCCGCTGAACACAATAGTCTTTCCAGTGGAACCGCGTACTGTACTTTAATAAGGCCTCTACTGTGTGTGTGTGTGTGTGTGTGTGTGTGTGTGTGTGTGTGTGTGTGTGGCGTTGGGATTATGCTGGAGCATAAATTGGCTTGAAATTAAGCATTTTGCTTTGATATGGGGAAACATTATGCGCAGTGCTCTTCATGTACTGATAAAATTATTGCCGGTTAAATATTGAATTTGAATATTGAATGGACGCGTATATTTGGTAATTTTATTTGTTTTGTTTTTTCAGATTTTGGATCCCAGGACTGCTACGACATTCCTCGATCATTCTCCTCTGAGAAAAGCTGTTCATTTGACTTCAATGAGAGCTTCAACAGCTACTTTGTAAGTGTTGCTCCAAGGTTCACCGGTTTATTAACTCACAAATGTGTGCTTTCAAGTAGCGTTTGCCAACTTAAAGATCCGTTTTTTGAGTTATGAATTTGGCTGTTTTTACAATCTTCATCGTAATTGTTATTAGAGACGTAGACGTGAGAAAACTAAAGTTTGGACTTTTCTCAGCCATTCATACTGCAAATGCTGCATTCCCATCTCTGCTCCCATGATGCTATTCTGCGTTGTGGGGCAGAGATTAGTCGTAACGTGTTAGAGGGAGCTGTCGACGTGTATTACGGTTTTTCGGTTTTTCTTCATTGCTGCCCTACTTCATAAGCAAGCCTGCTAAATGCAGTTTATAAGTCACTGCTAACTCTTCTTTTTTGGCATTCATACATTATTGTATGTAAGTGAAACAATGGCTACAGTCAGGTGTGATGGAGAATAATCTGACAAAAATAATGAAGTGATTAATTGGCTCCGTTAGTCCCAAGGCTACAGCTGTGATGTTTGCAAAGAAAAGGACGTCAGTTCACTTTATTGAGGATTGAGCAGACGCACTGTAGCAGTTTCTAATTAGACTGCTAGTGTTCTACAAAGACGTTCATTGAATTTAACATAATAGCAGTCGACAAAACACTGACCATGTGTGTATTGACATTTGTTCATTATTTCTCTTTCTGTTGTGACTTAGCTGATGATAAGTCTTTACTATCCCGCAAGCAGTTTTGCGTCATGATAGAGCCGGTGTTATCTGCTGCTGCATTCATTTCTCTATATCTTGGTGGTGTAATGTAATGTATGCTGACTAGTATCAAAAAAAAACACCAACCTGTATGGGTTTATGAGTTCTTTGAGTTGATCCTCAATTGCTTTTGTCTGAAGCAATATCTAACGCAACAATAGTTTGAGTGTGTATACAGATGACTGCTCAGGGTTTTGTCTTAAGATAAAGTTGAATATCATTACCGTTTAGAGGCACATACCAGCTCTGATTGTCCTTTGTTTGTGAACGTGTTTGTGTGCCTTCTCCCCCTCAGAAAAATAAAGGAATGATGCCAGTGGGCAGCCAGTCCACAGAAGAGGTCGACCAGAACTACGTCCCCATGAGCGCCAACTCGCCGTCGCACCATCGCTCGGGCAGTTTGTCGGAGCCGATGCACGAACCGAACTATGTGCCCATGACCCCGAGCACCATGGAGTTCTCCTCCCTGGGGAAACAGGTCCCCCCGCCCGCCCACATGGGCTTCCGCTCCAGTCCCAAGACTCCGCCGCGCAGGCCAATGCTCAGCGACTGCCAGCCCCCGCCTGTGGACCGAAATCTCAAACCTGATCGCAAAGGTGAGAGGACAACAGGTGTGCATGCACGTGTAGCTGGTGTTTTATGTAGAAATTCTTGCTGAGGGGGTTGATGTGTGCAGGAGTGTATTGTTGTTTCAGTATGTTCAGTGTTCACTAATGCAACAACTGACCATGTCTCACACTCGGCTGCTATTTTCACGGTGCTGGCTCATGGTCATCATTTCCAACCGTCCTCAAAACACTGTCTTTCTTCATCGTACTTCAGTTGCCATTGTGGACAAATATGTCTATTAATTTAGTCTCTCTCTGTTTGTCTGGTGTGTTGAATACCATCGTCTTCTTCTGTGCCTGTCGTTGACCAGCTTATTTCACCTCTTGATAAATGAGTTTAGTGCCTGCTACATCCTCTTATATCCAACACAGTGAGCTCCTTGTCAAAAGCACTTTTGTCCGGAGCTCAAGAGGCCTGTAGACCGTTTTGGAGGGGGGGCGGGGGGGCGGTCCCTGTGCCATGGAGTGACCGAAGCTCGGAGTGGTCACCTCAATCCCCTTTGTTCCCTTCATCTGAATGGAGCTCTTTGATGAAAGACCTAATAGCAAGGGGACTTTCAATCTGGGGCAGATTGAAAGGCTGAGTAATGGGCAAAGAGAGAAAGGGAACGGAGGGACGTCAGGGAGACGGGGAGTCATCACGTAGGCAAACCAAAAGCCATGGCTGTCAATGTCGCTGAAGAGAGATAGGACGCCTTGTAGAGGTTTACAGTTCTCCGGTGGGGAATCCTTTTTTCCTCTGACCTCTGAATCAGGTGTCTCCAAATTTGGCATGCATCATTGCTGGACCACCATGACTAAAAGTTATAAAAAGATTTGAATTTCTCCAAATCATAACTGTAAATCTTCAGTCCTCATGAAACATGGATAAACATTGTCAAACAGTAATATTTACATTGTTGATTTGTGATTGTTTTGGCACTAGTTAGGCAGTGTGTTGGACACAGTTTATTCCAGAATGTATAAACTCTAGTTAGCGGAGGGACAGTTTGCCCAATCGACTCGCATATTACATTCAGTCTTTAGAAATGTTTAACTGTTGGTACAGAATTCTGGGGGATGTCAGTATAATTCATATTTAGGCCTGTAGCTTTTGATCCTTACTTTCCAGAAAGGTGTGGCGAAAGTCTCTCGTAGTTTTGGCCCTGCCATTTGTAGTTTTTTCTTGCCATCTATCACTTCCTCTCATTGCTATTGTCAAGCAACCAAGATTTTTCCTTTTTCTTTGTTGACAATTAAATGTACTTCTACCACTATTCATCTTATTTGACTAACTTCACCATGGTTTTTTTGGTGTTATTAGGAGAGCTAAGAGACAGAAGTGTATCTACTGCTATTGTTTGTTCAGTGTTGAAAACATCTCAAAAACCTCTTCTGATGCTATCTTGTTGATGTATTTTAATGTTTATGGAAAGCACTTTGCAGTTGATCATTTGAAAGTTACGAAACAAATATAGATTTTTATTACGGTTCAGATGTAACCCTCAGGCCCACCGCTCCCACTACAAAATATTCGTCTCTGTGGATCTTGGATTTAGGAAACTTGGATCGGCTTGCAGCTGTATTTTGTCGTAGAAACGGCACAGGGACGAGAATTCAGCACGGCTAATTTCAAAAATGTACACAAATCTATTCGACAGATGTATTTAAAGTGTGACATTCAGACTGAAAGTGAAGAAAAGTAAACAATAGTGAGTAACCTCACTATTTAGATATCTATTCTCTAAACTCTGTGTTTATAGTCGAGAGTAAAAACATTTGACATCTATTGATTTTTACCTTGGGATATCATTCATGTCTTTATTTACCCTCACAACATTCCTCTGTACTGTGGACTAACCCGACTCACCAGCAGCCATGTTCATCTTGTGTGCGCTTCTCTCTCTGCTTCGGGTTGTCTCAGCCGTATGTTGAGAGGGCTTTGACATCTGTGGTCAATGCCAGCAAACGGCTTTTACTTTATTAACACCATGATATGTTCAACTGAAATGAATCGTCTCACTTTGAGATTGTGGCACGTTTGTTGTTGTTGTTTTTTTGCTCTTGTCAGCGCTGCAGAATGTTGTGATAAGTGTGCTAATGTAAAAAAGGAGCTCCAGTATGTGTCTTCTTTACCGTGACATCATTTCTTCCGTGCTTATACACAGCTCGTCGTGCATGCACAGCTGTGATGTCGGTCTTTGTGTGGGAAGCCGTGGTGCATGGAGTGAGGTGCATGTTGGGCCGTATGGGTCCCGCTGTTGTCATGACAATCATCCTCTTGAAAACTGTGCTGCACAAGAAACAAGTGATTTTAAAATGTACGCGAGGGTGTCGTTTTTGTTGTTTAGCAAAGTCTCGTCTTTTGCTTTGCATGCCGGGACGGTTGTTACAGTTGGGCTTAACTGTTGTGATCACCAAAGATTTTATAATGAGCAAAGTCTTCTTTCACCAATCAGGTCAGAGTCCTAAAATAATAAGAGCAAAAGGTGTCGGTTTAGAGCGAACCGACTCTCAAACCGTAGGTGAATTCCCGAGAGGACGACGCAAGGGTAGGTACTCCACACTTGAACTGCCATTGTGTATCTGACAACTTTCCATTCCCTGACCTCTCTCACACTCCATCTCCGACTCTTTGCATGTCGTGTTCTGTTGGATTCCTCTTGTAAGAAACTGTGTGCAAACCAGACTCAATTAAACCGTACCTTTTTTCTATTCGCTGGCTGCGATGAGCACATCCATCCAGAGCTGCCCAAATAGTTTTAAGAACCAAACATGGGTGTCAGAGCTGTTGCACTAATCCAGTATTATTTTAAATCCCAGCAGGAGGGGGACTGAGTGTGCACTTCATACACGGTGGATTGGAGTCACAGCATGCCTCTCAGAATACACTGTTACTACTCCTTACACTAACTATCTTCTCCCTCTGATGTGACTCCTTACATGCAGTCAGACAAACGACAAAACATTTATTTTTGTGTCTTTATTTCATATATTGTCCTTCCAAAGCACACATTCAGATGTAGCAGCCGCAACAGAATTATTGTCACAAGGAACAGTCACGTGGCTCTGGGAAGTAGTCGAAGGCTCTTCAGGAGGAAATGAAACGATGATATCATCTAATAAAAAGAGAGACTCAGATAGATGATCTCTTCTGCTTGTGTACATGCAGCTTGTACTAGCAAGTATGTAGTTTACAATGTTTTTAGTCCAACTCCTTGCACACGATTTTGCATTGTACAATTGCTCAATTGTTTTCAGTTTGTCTTGTTTTTCACCTTCTTAAAGGGAGGAAATTGGTTCAAACTATGTTTCACACATTTGATCTCCTCACACTTGCAACGATTGTTGTTCTCTTGCTACAAAGGTCTCGCCACAGTGTGTAGCAGACAAGATCCGCTTGTGATGAGAACTTTGGGTGATAGAAATTTAAGGAATAAATGGGCGGAATATGCTGCTGAATATAATTAATTAATTAATTTATTTATTTGTAATTTGTAGAGCAATAAATGATACCAGGGATAATTGCTATTTAAATGGCATATATTTTGATTTTCATCCCGATTTTGTTTTTTTAATTTTTGGTTTTTGATTTTTAGCTGTTTGTAACTGATAAGTTATCATTTCTTTTTCAAATAAAATTGTTTGCATCTACATTCATTATGCAGTCATTTGTTCCAGACTTGATCTGCATTAGTAATAATTTAAGGTTCAAAACTATTCAAATGTATAATTAGGAACACACAGGTTGCTTTACTTCACAGTATTTACAACATTCCAGTCATTGACCTTTCTCTGCCTTACATAAGTGTAGTTTAAAGTATGTTTCTTAAGCAGGAAGCTGACTGTTGTTGTGTGTACTTTGCTTCAGGAAGACCAGCTCCACTTGAGATCATACCACTGCCAGAATGGGAGGAGCCCTCTACGCCCGTCCGCTCGCCCGTCACACGCTCATTCGCTCGGGAGTAAGTATCTAAAATGATCTGCAGCATTTTTCATAGTTCTGCATTTTGCTAACAACTAAGGGAATGTCCACACCACTGTTTCCTTAGCCCGTTTAAAAAATAAAAAAGGTTCCCTTCTTATTAGTCGTGCTTTAAAAAATAAAAAAAGCTAGGGGCAATAAAAATAAATTGCTGCGCTTCTTCACCAAGGGACTGAACTTAAGCAGCCGATGTTACGGAAACAGTGTGCATTAACTGTTTTTACATTACCAACACAAAATACAGTTATTTTTTTAAAGTAAAAAATATATTATTTGGCGTGAACATTCCCTTTTGTAGTGGATACAATTAACTAAATAAGTAGGCACTAACACTTCATGCATTACTGTAGTCACCTTGTGACCGAAGTAGCACTGCTCATACACACTGGTCTGGGCTTCAGCCTCAGAGCTACATTACACTGAATGCAGTTTATTGTCCTGTATTAGGTCTATTCCTGTGCTTTGTGCTGCAGGGACTCCTCTGGGCTGCAGTGGGTTATAGCTGTGGCTGTTATGTCTGTGTTATATATTCTGTGCTCACCAGAGACTTCACTTGTCTGGAAAGTCGGTGTGTAAACATTGTGAATGCTGCTCAGTCTTTCTAGGTTTCCAATGCCAACGAGACCCATGTCAGTGCATAGTACGGCCTCCAGCACTGACTCCGAAGACTGTGATGAGAATTATGTAGCCATGGTCTCTAATAAGTCCACAGATGAACCAGTATGTAACACACAACTATCCTCTGATATAAGACGTTGCATGATTATTGTTTTCTAATCTCAAATCGCAGACAATCACAGCTATAGAAAGATGTCTAATTTGATTGTTATTGTGACATGTGTTTATGTGGTTTGTCGAAGCTATTTGAAATCATTGTTCTATATGAAATTTACAAAGAGTTTTCACTACAGATGCACCATGAATACAGTAGAGAGTATGTATGAGGCAGGCAAAGTTCTCAGGGTTGAGCAACCTAGAATTTTAAGCTGTGATTGTTGCACAGACAATATGAGAAAGCCCATTTCCAGCTCTCGGAGCTGGAAATGGGCACTAAGGCACACATTAGTGTGGACAAATAACTGGTTGCTGCAGATGGACTCCTCGACACTTCAGCTCTTTTCTTTGCAATTTCTTCTTGTTCTGCAGCTCGGCTTTCTTTATTCTCTATTTTGTTCTTCTGCTTTTCAGGTAATGTGTTCTTGAATTAAGAAAAATGCTTTTTTTTTTTTTTGTCAAATAAGTACCCTTACTTACTGGGCATTGGCTTTAATGGCATCAAAATGAGATATCTGTTCTGCGGACACGGGCACAATTGGCTTATGTAGCCGTAATAACATCGGGCACATCAGCCATACATTGATAGGATTACATTTCCGTCATTGGGGTTTCTTTCTCTTATAGTTTTGGGTATTAGGTGAATCATTTTCCTGTTTTTCTTGCTGTAACAATTTAACTTTTTCCAACATTTGCTTTGATATTGTCTGCTGACTTCCTGTTCTTTCATCACTCATGTTCATTGCTTTCTTCCTAGTTCTTCATTTCTTTGGCTTCACCAGGCTCTGGCTTCATTCGTTTTCTTCCCCCCCCCCCCTTTTGTTCTTGACCATCTGCTGTTTCTTTTTTCCTTTTGTCGCTGCTTCCTTCTCACTCTGTGTAGAGAGGAGTCCTTCTACTGCACAGTCCCCATCACCCCTGTAAAGAGGGAGGTGGAGGAACTTGACATCATAGAGGAGGTGAGCAGGGTTGCCAGGTTTAGACGTGCATGGCCTGCTCTGTCAGAACACCAGCGGTTACCAGTTTACGGTGTTATCATTTGATCAGACATTCAGCAAGTTCATAGTGCATACTTTGCTGTGCTGTTATCGCTCCCCAACACCAGCTAGGATCTGTGGCTTGGATACACAGTTTGCAGTGATTTATAGATGTGAAATACCATCACTTTCATTACACTTGGTATGCACTAGTTTTGTCACCATCTTAGTTCTAATAACACCACCCCCAACTTGTAGTTAGAAATTAACACTACCTATAGGTCCAACGTGTATCTTAGTGTTGTCACAATACCATAATTTTGACTTAAACCGCTTTCTCCTTTTCTGGAATTTGCTGTAAACACAAAGTGATGTCACTGACCCACCACTACTTTATTCAATTTAAAATAGGGAAAGCATAACAAACTAAACGATAAACATAAACTCTGCAATCTGAACAAAGTGCAACACCGTTTGCAGAATTTAAATTAAAATGTTAAATTCTGAGATGCTTTGCTCAGTCATTTGTATTTCATTGGACCGCTTTGAAGCAACTGGAGTTTTGGCATGTCGGTCTGTTGCCCATTTTTTTTTTTTTTTTTTGTTGGCTGTATCAGCGGAATGATGTGTCCACGCTTCAGCGGACAAACTTTGTCGGTCTGGTGCCTGTTTGATCGGACCAGCGAGATGAAAAGATGTTCACTGATTAAACGAATCTATTCTTAGAATGAAACGATGATCAACTTCATCGAGGTAGTGCTGTTATTCACTGCTCCAATTCTGACAATTAGTACATGGACTGATTATGTTGACTAATTGTATACACACACATTTTGGGTTAATTGTATATTGATGTCCATCTTTTCATCCTTTTTTAAATGTTCCGGTCCACAAAGCACCAAGTTGTGCTTGAATGTAGTTTGGGCTCGCAGGACATGCGACATGTGAAAGTACCAACTTTTTGGGAAATCAAATCAGTCAATCTCTTGCAATCTTAGCAAACCAATATTGGGTATTGTGACAATGCCAGATTGTATTGAAGTGTGAGTTTGCTTCACTGACACTGACTCAGTGTTCCTAGTCAGTCAATAAAAGCGTCCTTTTCTGGCTTATGTAGTTCATGAAGCTTGGTGCCCCCATGACTGCGGATGGTGGGAGCAGCCCTATGATGATTCAGAAGGGAGACAAACAGGTGGAGTACCTGGATTTGGATCTTGACTCCGGCAAGTCTACCCCACCTAGGAAGGTAGGAATTACTCAGCCCTCACATCCTGAGCCGTGTGTTCACAAGTAATTTTAAAGGAACTTCAAGACCGACCTTTTTTTTGTGTTTTTCTTTACTCAGGTTAAAAGCAATGGAACGGGAATGGCAGTTTCAGATGAGCGTGTTGACTACGTGGTTGTGGACCAGCAGCGGACGCAGGCCCTTAAGAGCACACGGGAGGCCTGGAACGATGGCCGCCAATCCACAGAGACAGACACCTCTTCCAAGGGACCCAAGTGACCCCGTTGTCCCAACCGCCAACCCACCCCCAAAACTGTTGGGCCCTTTTCCACTAGTGTAGGCTCTGGTGTGTGCTTTGGGACGGTCCAGCTGTCACCTTCCACCTCAGCAAGATCCTTAATGTGTGGTGGAGCGTCATAGCCACTCAACTGTTTAGTTTACACTGCTGTTAGGCCTAGGACAGCACTGTGTGTACAGTCGTAGGAAGTGGTATGAGCCAGGAATAAGCTGTATGCGGTATGAAAGCAGGTGGAATGACTGGACTTGTCTTCGGGGGTTTGACTTAAGCAGACCCACAAACTTTGAACATTCACTGCCTCCTATATTGGATTGGAGTTTTTTTGTTTGTTCTGTTGTTCACCTTTCAATGGCTGGTGGGCGGATCCACAGTTAACATTTCCTTCTATTCTAATGCTGTTTAATGTTTTGAAGTATAAGTTGAATCACTTGATAACATGATCAAAATACTTTATCAATGCAACTCTCTACTACTTAGCATAGCTGGTTAACAGAGTTGATTTTTTACAGTTTCTCCTGTTTTGAGTGGAATGAAGTTTCCATAGGCACTGGTCACAGGTCAGTTTCACAATTTTTAGTTAGTGTGGATGACTGAAACTCACCCTGAACTGTGTCTATGGCAAACTTCAAACCGGATCTCCAAGATAACCCAGTACGATAGAATTTCATAGTTTTATTACTTTTTTTTTTTTTTTTTTGTTCTTTTCCTTCAATGTAAAAGCAGTTGAACTCGTTCATTTTACATGTAACCAAGTGCTCAATTTAAGCTTTGGATTCACTCAAGGTTTTATCCACTGAACATGATTTGATTTCCATTTACTTTGTACGTGGGGATGCTTCAATCTGTTATAATGGAAGTGCAAAGACTGTACAAAAGTGTTATGTATATAAACAGGAAAAAAGTGTCCTTTATTTGTATGGAATATCCAGCGCGTTTAACTCGAGGGTATGTGGATTCTGCAGGGTAGAATCCTGTGCCGGTCTTAGGTGGTATGAGGACTTGTGATAAATGAATGAATTACTGTGAGTTTTTAAAAGAAAGTGACAGGTTTTGTATAAGTTATGCAAAGGTATCAAACTTAGGCTAGAGAGAAAATCAGGTACTTCTGAATACAACTAACCATTTCTAATTTATTTCTCAAGTTATTTCATCAGGTGGATGTCGTGTCCACTTTTAGCTCAGTATTCTTGATTCATTTGCTAAAGTCTGTTAACATGCTTAAGTTTGACAAGCGCCGGTCAATTAGTTTCACAAGTTCATTGATATTCCTCATTCCACTCTTATCTAAGGTTTAATTTATTTCAAATTGAACTGGCATACAGTTTTGGGAAATCAACTGCCTCATGTAGTCAACTTGAGACATCTTTTTATAGACGGTGAAAAAGTCTTTGTCTGCATAAATCTGTGCTTTTACTAACCTGTGAACTCTTGACTCCGAAGTCCCAAGCATGTGCTACCATAAGATAAAATCATTGCTGTACATATTTTGCCATCAATTAGATTAACATGTATCATTTGAAAAATGTGCCTACTAAGTCATCTTCATTCTACTTCACTCTTTCCTTATTGCAGTCTTTTTGTGATACGGACTGCAAAGCTGATGATGCTTTATCTTTTTTTAATGAATCTCGACAGAAAATGTAAATTTTGAAAGTGGACTAAATAAAATCCAACCTCTTATGCATGTGTTGTCTTTCTTCAATATGATTTCCATGATGATGAGAAAGTCAAAATGGAAAAGAGAATTTGAAGAAATAGAAATCCAATGTTAATGTCCTGTGCATGGCGAGTGTTCTTTTAGTTTGGTTGTCTTTTCAATCACATTCATATTGCTAAATCGATAACACCGGTCCACATGTTAACAAGCTTGCAACTGCATTGCTAATAATTTAAGTTTTATCTAAAAGTTGTATATAGAGTAGTTTTTCAAGAAAATGTCCTCGACATTCTGACAAATGATGGCCTGCAACTATGACCATATCATCAGAATTCTTATTTGTTCAATCGCCTAACAAGTAAACCTAACATCTTCAATTTGTGCATTTCTAGTTTCTGTAAAATGTATATCCAGCTTGAACCAAAGTACTCTGACAACTGAGAAATAGGTATTTTAACTGCAAGTTACGTTTTTGACTTCTTAAACCAAATAAAGGTGGCAGCAGTGATGCACAAGGCAAGCCAAATAGGTTTTAGATAGGATATGGAAATGTAAAATGAAGGCAAATTTGCTAAATATATTACGTTGTAAACTCATTTGAGGTATACTTGGTAATTAAATGTCATTTTAAACATGTTACAAGATCGTAGAGTACAAGGTGTTTTCATGTCACCTTCGGTTTGCATCTTTATTTACTATGAGGAAAAGAACTCCTAACTGCCAGAGCGGGTTTAATTAAACTCTTTATAGTTGAGTTACTTAAGGCAGCGATGGGATTATTTTTGCGTTTCTACTTGCACTGAAGCTTCAGGAAATGTCTTCATAACAGAGGTAAATCGTGGTAACTCACTAATTGACTCAAAAGTTAGCCAACGTTAATATTGAAGTCTCCAATGTAAAACATGAGACAGTAACTGAATCGCCATCATCGTAGTCTCGTTAGGTTATTTTTCAAATGATTTATTGATTTACAATTTTAAGAAAGCAATCACGTTTTCTGAGGGACAATTCTTTTGGGAAGGTTAGAGACCTAACATCCTAAATCCCACCGCAGTGAGAGGTGACATTACAGTAAAACATCAACCTTATCTAGAAAGTTGTGTTTACAGTAAACTGTGCGGGTGTAATGTTGGCAGTGTTGTATTGCTGTATTGTTCATCTAATGTTAAATATCTCCTGCTTTATAGTCAAAAGAACTTTTGAACTGCACTAGTTTACATCCAAGTTGTATTAAATCTGCTTAAAGGGAGAATTTGCTTGTAGGAAGCGTCTCTTGCTGCAGCATCCTAAAGGCCAGAATATCAATTTAAAGCATGGGTCACCTTGCACAGAAACCAATTTCTAGCTTTACTGAGCTGACCACTAGATGGAGCTGTTTGTTTGATGAACTGTATGGCTCTCCTTTGCCCACACCCCTTTCAGTGCAGTCATTTCTCTTGACGTCCTCCTGTCTGAGGCTCTGCAGCGTTGTGGCAGCCTAAATCACATTTACAATTTCTTCACCATATGCTTCACAGGCCAAGGTGCTGTTCTCCTTGGGTTACTGCAATGACCACAAAGGCCCTTGAAATCCACAGGTTTGTAGTTTCATTTCAAGATGTGTGTTGTTTTTTTTGCTCAGTTGTCCACATAAGGCTATTTCCAATGCAGTATGTCCAGTGATCTTAGTTAGTTCACTAGTGTTTTGCTAGCATACAGCATGTGAGACCATGGTGTGTACACTGGAAGGATGCTTACAGAGATTCTTCAAGGGGCCACCACAAGGATTATTTAGGGTTTCAAGATTGTATTACCTTCTGATTTACTTTTTATGAACTAACCAAGGCCCAAAAATCCACTAATGGTGCGTTATAAAGCACTACATTTCAGCACACATTTTGTGTCACAATGTGCTGCAGTCCTTCAGATAAAGTTTCCCCCACTAAATGTCCCATTATCCTTTGAAACAGAGGTTCTTATAATGGGATCTACAGATCCTTTTAACTTTGTTGAGAGATAAATAGGGGTTTGAGCAGCAACTGTATTAAAAAAAAATTACTAAACCAACAATAATTTTTATAATGGATCACAAAAAAAGCCCTTTTCATCTCTTGAGGGTGTACAGCATGAAAATGTTCAAGGACCTTTAGAGGTTTGCATGAGCACAGCACGCATGTGTGCACGGTCTTATTGTAGCGTTGTATTCTGTACAAGGTCGGTCCCATTTTACCTTTTGATTTTGATGATGTATGTCTACTGATCTAAATATCTCAGCCAGCTAATTATCATATATTTATGGATTCGGTACATGTCTCTCGTTTAATCAAATGCAACATATGGGCTGGCTTGGCTTCACAGTCACATTTAATCCCATAAATTTGTCGGACTCCACATCATGAGATAGCATAACACCCCCATCCTGCATACGTTTGTCTTTCATTGCACTGGCTGTTATGTAACCTTTTATCGTCCAGCCTCTAGGATCATGTTTGCTACCATGACATCCAGCAGATTGTAAACTGTTGCCATCAGGTGGCTTCATCCTTTGTTGAAATGGAATTTAGAAGGTTTTCATGTTGCTGTCAGGCATGGCTGATGGGATGGCAGGTTAACACATGGCAGGTTTTAGCTCATTTTCCTTTTTAACTTGCTACTTCTTCGGTGCCCATGAGAGTTGCTGGCTTGCGTGTCTGATGTGTGAGAACTAGATTACTGGTAATGTCATCATCTAAGGTTATGCTGGTGTTATTTTTTTTTTGATCTCATGTTTGACCTTGGGGACCTGAAGAACATTATCCTCATCTGCGAACTTGTTTTCGAGGCTGCGTATATAAACTGTTTCTTAGCCATCATTAAACACATTCTTGGCTCACTTTTTCTCAACAGCATATTTGATCAAAATGGACAAGACACAAACGGTTCAGCCTTTGTCTTTAGATCTTGTTAAGCATATGCAAATGCTTTACAACACATGAAACATTTTATCCTTCCACCGGTTTAAAAGCTTTAAGGTGTTGTGAGAAACGCATCTTAATCACTGTCTGTGTGCCGTAATGAGGCAATGTTTGAAGTTAAAGCACACCTTGAGTCTGCTCTGTTTATTTACACGCGGGCCTCTGCCTACACAGTCGCAGCTGTGTAGTGGCGCAGCCTGGGGAGCCTCTTTGCAGTGTCTTTGGCAGTGTGTGAGTAATGGAGCAGGGAGTCTCTTAACAGGACCAACAGAATAATTATGAGGCGATCTGAGAGGCTGTTTCCAGCGCACCATGGAGCTTGTGAGCTGTATTGGGCCTAGCCTGGACCTCTGCCTGGACTGATGGGAGCTGTCTGTCAGGTGGCCCTGTGGGGCCAGTTACACAGCAACACATGTTAAGTAACAACTGTGGTGTGTTTTTGGCCTGAATGTGGGTGAGAACTACGACATAGTTAACCACGTACAACATTTCCAAACCAGTTCAAAGAACTGTGTAGTCGAGGCTCCAAATACTGCATGGGCGGTGGTTTGAACAAAGACATTGCAATGTGCTCTTGTCAACAAAATGCGGCTAACAACATGCCTGGTTAATTAACTTCATTAGTGTGAGTGAAAAGTCAGTGCTATAGACTTCAGTGAATTATGCAGATGCGTGTCATATTAATGGGGAACACAACACAAGTGTGAAAAAGGAACATTCCTCAAGAGACGTGTTCGCCTTTAGTAGAGGCATCGTTGGGCTGGCAGAGCAGTTAATTGATGGGGTTGAGGCAGCTGCATGTGTCCCCTGCTGATTGCACCAACTAGAGTGCAACCGATACCAATATCGATATTTGAGAGTTTTAAAACCGTGATAATGATAGATTAAACAATATTAATCTTATCACATTTTTTGATAAAACATGGCAATTAAATAATTGTGCTTAAGGTATTTGTACTGTGTGAGGAAAATGGTGATAATGTAATTGCAACATGACAGTTTGTAAATTACCTCAGACATATCTTTAGGATATCTGCACTGCAATTTCGTCTTACTTTTTGGCTGACAAACACTTATTTATGGCCAAAACAGTTTAATGTTGATAATTCTGTCAACTACTTGATTAATGGTTTGGTCTATAAATTGTCAAATGATGAAAAATGCTGATCACAATTTAGGAAAGCCCAAGGTGACGTCTTCAGATGTCTTGTTTCATGTGACCAACAGCCCAACAGCCCAATGAGATGCTATAGTTTCACATTTGTGGAAGACTAAAGAAAGCAAGAAAATGTTCACATTTTGAAAATAATTTTGACTTGATTTGATTATGCTGTTGCAGGACTACATGTAGTCGCCAGTTTATTAGGTACACCTAGCTAAAACTAATTACAGCCCTGCAATAAAATCGTACCTTCACAAAGGCTATAATGTTCAGTTTTTGCTTCTTTGTTTTAGAGAAGTGTTGATTCAAATGTATCTTTACTCTGAAGGCTGCAGCTTGTATTGCTTATGATGCATGATGCATTCGGCTACTCTGAGAAGTATTATTTATATTTTGTCCACCCCATTAACGTCAATAAGGGTGGACCACGTATTAGAAACACTTTTCAGTAAAAAGCAGTACAATTCAACAGTACCACCACCACAACTAAAACAGTTTCAACTAAAGCTTAACATCACAACCTTTATGAATGCAGGATGTATTAGGTGGCTGTCATATTAGATTACATTAGTTTTATCTTGGTGTACCTAATAGCTAGCGAGTGTATGTTAGAGGGGATGGTAGTTTTTACATAATTATTCTAATTTTTATTGAAAAACATATTAAAATGATTATGTGTGATTTTTTTTTTTTTGCGGTGATCTGTACCAAACAAAGTTGTTCTCTTAAGTCAGTAGAATATGATGTGCAGGCCATGGCATCTTAGCAGCAAGACAATATTTTATTCAAACACATTAGACACATTAGACACATTTTGCCCATAACAAATGTTGTGCCTCCTCCAATGTGAAAATTTCAGTATAGGCCATATTGGGATTTTGCTAAAATTGTGATTGATTGTGCAGCCCTAGTTCAGGGGCAGGTTGTGCA